AAGAACTTGGGCTTTATCACTGTATGAGTCTGAGTCTTACTCAACCTGTAAGCTGGGTGTTTGTATCTTACCAGGAAAAAAACACACCTTTAGATAAACACAAAACAGTCCTTATCACCCTCAATTTTTTGCTTTATATTTTGAGAGGGTTTCTCTGTGTAACAGCCTTGGCTGACATGGCACTCGGTCTTTAGACCAGGTTGGCCTTGAACTCACAGAGACCCTCCTGCCTATGCAGGTCCTCCTCAGGGGCCTCCCTGATCACCTTGGCAGTGGTTTTCATCTTGATTTCTCCTGTGCAGTGGACATGTTCCATGGACATATTATGTTTAATAAAGATTCGTTTTCTTCCATGTGACAGATGTTTTACACTCAGCTGGCAGTGAGTGTAAAACATGAATATGGGCAGTGGCCCCTGGTTTCCCAGCAGTAACCTTTGAGCTAGTGATCTTGGGCAGTTTTCTTATACTCTGTCTGCTTTAGTTCTCTCCCATGCCAAAGAAGGATAACACCCCACACTGTGTTATAGAAATGGTCTGAGAATTAAATCAGTTCGTGTGTGGTGGACCTCTTTGAATGCCACATGGTCCCATTACAGGCCATTTAAACGACAATGTTTGCTTGTATTGTGGTTTACATTTGATTTTTTTCCATGGGATGAGCATGAAATGGAATACACAAATTAAAACCCTGTATTCCATTTCCTGCTCATCTCATGGGAAAAACCAAAATGATTTGTGTCCCTTGTCATTAGTGTGGCCAGACATCTTATATATTGACTCTTGCATTTCTTTTCTCCCTCATTGGATTATTTTTCTTATGAACTGCAGAAATTCTCAATGATCTCTCAAAATATTCCTAACACTAATTCTTTGTTAGTTAAATGAGGGGCAGGGATTTTACAAGCCTGGGGCAAGATTTTCATATATTGAACTACAGAAGTATTCATTGCAACTTAGTAAGTTATTCATTTAATATATGTTTTATTTATGAGTTCACTGCCAAATCAAGATCAGGATGATACTCTTATATTTCCTTATAAAGTTTTTCTTTTTATTCATTTCTTTTGGTTTTTTGAGACAGGGTTTCTCTGTCTAGCTTTGGAGCCTGTCCTAGAACTTTCTCATAGACCAGGCTGGCCTCGAACTCATGGAGATCTACCTGCCTCTGCCTCCCGAGTGCTGGGATTAAAGGTGTGCACCACCACTGCTGGGTTTTCTTTCCTTTTTTTGAGAGAGGTAGCATTTGATACAGGGTCTTTCTATATAGCCTTGCACTCATGGTTCTCTTGCCTCAGCCTCCCGAACGCTAGGCTATGTCATGTTCTTCTGGATAGGTCCACATCCTTTTCTGTAAATTGCCAGACACTGAATTCCTGAAGCTCTGTGGGTTGCTTCTTCTCTGTGACAACTGCATAGCTGTTTCAACCTCTCTGCCACAGTTTTTCCAAGTGAATCCCAGGAATAATAAAATGTAAGGATTTAAAAGTAGACTAAGCAGGAGATAAGTAAAGGAATGAGTGGAGTTGTGTTTCAGTAAAACCTTATTTACAGAAGTAGGTGACAGGTTGAATTTGGCTTAGGAGCTGTCATTGCCAATGCTTGTTTTAGACCAGGGCTTCATAAACCTCCATTTGTGACCTTTTTTCTCCTAAGAAATTTTTATGTGATGTTGATTAATTAACAGAAGTCTTTCCATTGTTTCCTGGATTTCTTTAAATTTTCACTTTTAATTTCTTCAGTCATCCAGTGTCATCTAGAAGATGTTGCTCACTTTGTGTGTGTGTGTGTGTGTGTGTGTGTGTGTGTGTGTGTGTGTGCGCGCGCGCTTGCTTTGACCTCACTTGTTGATTTGTGATTGTATTCCATTGTTGTCTGAGAAAATATACAACATCATTTCAACTTTTAAAATTCATTGGAACTTGATTTTTGGTCTACCGTATGATGTGTCTTGGGAGACATATACGCTGATGAGCAGAACATGCTGTGTGCTGCTGTTGAGCGACACAGTCCATGCATGTGGCTCAGCATTTGCTGTCTTATCCAACCCCAGTGTTTCTTTGTTGGTTTTCTATCCTGTCTGTTCATTGAAGAAAGTGGGGTGTTAGAGTCCCCATTGTTACTGGTATCAAGTCTCGCCCTTATATCTAGTATTTGCTTTATGCATTTGGGGGGGGTCACGTGGAGGGTGTGTGTATATTTGCAGTTTCTATGTCTTTGTGTTGAATCAATTCTTCCTTTCCTGATGACATTCTTTGTCTCATTGGCTATTCCTTTAAGGTCTGCTGTGTCTGGTGGGGATAGCTACTCCTGTCCCATATTGGTTCCCATTTGTGTGTCTTTTGTGGTTTCTAACCTCCTGTGAGTTTTCTTGTAAGCAACATATAAGGGGGTCTTGCTTTCTTTTTTAATATTTAGCCAATCTGTTTATTTTCATTGAACTTAATGCATTAAATGAAAGGCTATTGTTAATAATTATGAACCCATTTTATTGTTTCACTAATTGTGCGCTGCTCACTTTACATGACTTTTTCTTTATGACTTAGTAGTTTTCTATTATGATGAGGTTAAGTTTCTCTTCTAGCAAATTTTGTAATGTGCATTTCATGACAGATTCTTAAGTATTTCTTGCATGGCTAATCTAGGAGTGCTGAGGTTCCTCAGATTCTGCTTCTCTGACTTCATTTCTTCAGATTTGGAAGGATGCTTGTGCTGGGTATAGCATTTTCACTTGGCAGGGCATATTTTTCTTTATTATTTTGGCTGTACTGTCTCAGCCTCCATTCTCGCACATCTCATTTGGCCTGTCAGCTTTCCTCTAAGACCTCTGCTGCAAGCATCTGCTCTCAGTCTGTGGACCTTCGCTTATAATGTGATTGACAGTTCTTCCTATTTTGAAGATTTTTATCTTTGCATTGTATCGTTGATATTTTTACTACAAAGCCCTTGGTGATAGTCTATTTTGGTTGACTCTAATTAGAGACTTTTGAGCATCCTGAGTCCGTATACCTGCATCCCTTGAAAAACTGGGGGGCATTTTCAGCTATTACTCCATGAAGTGGGTTATTATTACTATCATCACTGTGTGTGTGTCTGTTTGATGGGAGAGGGTGTGCACATGCTACAGTGTGTGTGAAGTCAGAGGACAGCTTTGTAGCATTGGTTCTCCTCCATCCTTTGCCTGGGTTCCCAGGATTGAACTCAGTGGTCAGGCTTGCAGTGCCACTGTCCCCACTGAGCTATTTCACCAGCCTGCAAAGTGGGATTTAATACTTTTTCCCTTTACTTTCTAGAATTACCACGATGCAAGTATTTGTTTGCCAACAGTCTCCCATATGCCTTAAATGTGCTCACTCACTCGCTCTGTCTTTCTAACTAGTTAGTTCTAAAAGTCCCACTTGCATTGGTTTGTTGTGGAAGTCTTCTCTTTTGTTTTTCATCTCATTGATTGAGGTTTTCAGTTCTAAGAGGTTCCAGCTGGGTTTTTTGTTTTGTTTTTTGTTTTTCTGTCTTTTCTGAATTTTCATTCTGAGTTGTTTTCTCATTTCTTTATATTGTGATCTCTAGCCTCTTGAACTGGGTTTTGTTAGGAATGCTATTTTGAGTTCTTCTTAGCACCTCAGAGGTTTCCTTCCATCTGAGATCATTTCTAGAGAACTGTGTTCTCTTTTGCAGGTTTCTTGTTTCCTTTGAATTCCTTATACCGTGGTTGGTGTCTGTGCAGCTGGTGTATGCGTCTCTCTTCTGATCTTGCAAAGGACCTTTTGTAGGAAAGGGTGTTTGTGTTTAGATAGGACAGAGGATGCCAGTTAGCTTGGGTGTTCAAGATCGGTCACAAAGACCCCAACAGCATGGTCTTGGTGCGTTTCTCCCTCTAATTGATGCCAGCATGACAGTGAGTACCTTTGCAGCCTTAAGAAAGTTGTGTGATCTTGTAGTGGAGGTGAATGTCCAGAGGCATCTTCTGGCTGCAATGACACTTTGACGGCAGCTGCTGCTTCAGTCTTGGTGACAGTGGAATGTGGAGAGGACTGTCTTTGGATCTTCAGGGCAAGTGCAGGGAAGACCAAAGCTTGACATCAGTAGCCACAGGATTTCTACAAAGGAGATCTTCCCCAGGACTCCCAGGTTTCTGTAGGACATGGATGTCATGGTTCTGGAGACACAGGGTCGGCTAGGTCAGATGAGCACAGGTGGTTTAAGGCCCTGGCTTTGAAGGCTTTGGAACACAAAGGAGCTTGTCCATGGGTCCTGCTGTGTGGCTGTTGGTGCTGGTGTCAGTGGGCAGAAAAGGGGGGTCTTTCCCTCATTTCTTTGGGGCCATAGACCAGGCCTTGAACTCACTCCATGACCTATGAACTCATAGCAGTCCTTCCTTGTCTCTCAAGTGTTGAAATTACAAGCCAAATTCCAAATCTTACAGCACATAAGCTCAAGATTCTAATATTCTCTGCTTCCTACACATCCCAAACAGAGTGTCTGACCTAGCTTTATGTGACTGCCAGGCAAGCTTGGCCAGGGAAGTAATAGGAAACATCAGCCTCATGCAGGGGGCAGCAGGGTTCATAGCTGGTCTCTGGCAGAAGTCCAGGGCTTCTGGCTTTCACCCCTAGGATCTTGTCTTTAGTACCTGTCTCTCTGATTTGGACAAGCCCCCTCCTTCCTGGTAAAGGGGTCAGAGCTAGAATGATAGCACTTGGCCATTTATAAGCCAAGGTAGAGATTGGTACTATATGTGTTTTCCAGAGAAGAGCACCACAAGCCACAGCTGGATGAAGATGAGATGCTGCATGTGAAAGGTGGGGTGCTGTCAGCATCTCAGGAACCCATGCTGCTTTTGTCATGGAAAGATTACATTCCTGTTAACTAGCTGCCTCTTCTCAAGCATGGTTCTTGACCTGGACTTATGTTCTTCTTCCAGAAAGAAGCACTTCAGACTTGTGGCCATGGTAGGGTGGGGAGATGCAGGCGACAGTGGTCACCTCTGGTATTCTCTTGCAGGTGTTCACCTTGCTGTGGATTGCTGACTGGATGGTCCACCGCTTCTGGAGGAAAGGGAAGGACCCAGACAGTTTCTCCATCCCCTACCTGACGGCGCTGGGTGACTTGCTTGGGACAGCTCTCCTGGCCTTAAGTTTCCATTTCCTCTGGCTTATTGGAGACCGTGATGGAGATGTTGGGGACTAATGGATCCTAGAAGCTGTTGTGGGGTCACCCAGGAGGAGAACACAAGGCAGCCACTGCTGCCCTTCCCCAAAGCTCTTTATCTGGCTTGTGGCTTGTGCCAGGGTAGTCTGCGGTTCACCCTGACTCCATAAATGGCCTTAATATATTTTTAAGGAATATGTGTTGAAATCACAATGAATGGTATATGTGCTGCTTTTTGTAGAATAAATAATTTGACACAGACATAGATACAAGCTCTAAATTTTAGATACACTCTAAAATTAATTAGGAAAGAATCTAGGATGTTTACAATGATAATTTTGAAACCACAGACCTAGCAGAAATATGCTTTATTATTAGGTTATAATGCAAGGTTAGAGGCAAGGGAGCTTTAGCCTTCTTTGTCTTGCCATTGTGTCACACTACAAAGAATGCTGTGACATGAAAGGTACCAGCCAGGCTTCCCTGGGTATTAATTATGCCCTCTTCCATGGGCGCTAAGGTTGCCAACCACTTATTCCTAGACTGACTTGGTTCACTCTGCTGAGCATGATGACACGCTCACTGACTTACTCTTGTCTAAAACTTCTCTGTGCCAGTGTCCGTTTAATTTCAGTTCTCAACAGGTAACCCTTTAAGTAGTTTTTTTCATCTTCAGAGAAGGGTTTACCATGTTGTCCCAGCAGACCTTCAGCTCGTACCCCCTTCTTTGGTTCCTTCCTCCTGAATCTAAAAGCACTGGACCATTTTGCTCATTTGTGTTGAAAAATGTAGATCTGATTTAGAGAATAGTCATCATCAAAGCAGAAGATCAGTTGTGAGCTGCATTTGTGAGCACAAAATGTTGTGTGTGTGTGTGTGTGTGTGTGTGTGTGTGTTCATGTGTAAATATGTGTGTGCACATGGGAGTATGTGTGTGTGTGAAGAGAGACAGAGACCAGAGAAAAAGACACAGAGAGACAGATAGTCACAGACATAGTGTTTTCTTCGTCTAAAATAAGCACCATTTAATATAACGCCTGGGATTTGGGAAGAGCAGGTGACCCTGTTGCTCTGTATGGCAGCCTACCTGTCAGTTTCCCTCCAAAGGAGAAGTTGTGGCTTACCTCAGTTAGCATCTCATCATGGGCTTCATCTACAGGGACCATCCAGTATGCTTAGCTGTATTTCTCAAATATTTTTCTGAAACTCTGCCAGTATCCTACGCACAGACTAGCACCTGCCTGTTCACTAGGAAGCACTTTTTAGATTACTTAGCCCTTAGGAAAACTTGAGTGCAATCTTTGAAGACAATTAAATATTTAATAATTTAACCTGCTGAGGGAATAAAATGCACATGGCATTGATTGTCAGCGTGTTTGTGTTGTGTAATTAGCAGATGGTTTGTAAATGTACTGAGGAAGTATTCTTATTAAAGTCTTTACGGAGGCTGTGGTTTAGAGTTATATATTTTTGCTTATTTTTAACCTTCATTCAGTTCTCCTGCCTTATAATCAAGCTTTGAAGGCATAGTGTGAACTAATTGTGGGATCTCTCCTTTAAAGAGATACAATGTCACAGAGCGACCATTCTGACAAAATAAGCATAAAGTTTACGTTGGTGAATATTTAGTCGCAAAGATTATTTTATGTTTTAAAAAATTAATAATACCTTTCATTTTATTATAAAGTATTTGTGAATTTGGGTTTTGCATTTGGGCTGTATGTTCTTTTGTTTTGAGACAGTTTTGCTTTATATCCCAGGCTAGGCTTAAACTTGAGATCTACCTGCCTTAGCCACTGGGTTTCATTTTCTTTAACTCACAGAAAAATGCAGAGTAAGCCCAGTGTTAGCGCTGGCCAGTGTTAGTGTCAGGCTGCTGTGCTACACATTGCAACGCACACTGACAGCATTGTTTTGCCGTGGAGACTCCTGCTGTATTTTATAGCTGGGAACATGGGGATGAGAGGAGTGACATTTTTAAGATTGCATGGCTGCAAAGTGGCCAGACTGTTCTAGACCAGTGTAATTTGTTACATACATCTGTGCCCCCCCCCCCACCGCACAAAGAATACCCACCTAGTTAGTTACCTGAGAGGAAGTCCAGTCCAGTGTTACTAGACTTCCAGATTGCTATCGGCGACACCTCCACCTAAGGTATCTTGGTGGTCAGCACAACCAACTCTGAGCTGTTCCTCTTCCTTAGGTCAGAGAGACTGTAAATGAAATAATGACTATTTTACCTTATAAAATATTTTCCATTTTATAATGAAGACTTTAGACTAAATAACAATGCCTCATTTCTTTTCTTGTTGATGTTGTTTTTGTTTCCCGAGACAGGGTTTCTCTTTGTAGCAATGGCTGTCCTGAAATTCATTTTGTATCCCAGACTGTCCTTAAACTCACAGAGATCCTCCTGCCTCTGCTGCCCCTGCCCCTACTGTCCCCAGTGCTGGGATTAAAGGCATGTGCCACCACTGCCTGGTGACACCTCATTTCCTACAGCCTCTAGGCACTGACGGTCCTCCTAGACCCACTGTGCCACAGGAAGGTATTAGCAATTGATGCTCAGCCTTTGTCAGAACAGCAAAATATTCAGACAAATGTAATGGGCAAAAGTAGCCTTGGCCTAAGTGCATTGTAAAGGGATATGCATCTCTTTAAGAACAACTGCAGATCTTTGAAAGTCTTCTTGTAAGTATGTAAGTTTTATTTACCCATAAATTTTACTATCGGTCTTAGGTAAACGAACAGTATTTTTATACCACTCAAACCCCTACTTTCCAAACACACTTTTCCCTCTAATTTACCAGGCACATTATACACACAGCTAAATAAATCATATTTTTTTATTCTCGACCATCCACCTTCTTTTGAAATTTCCAAAGTTTCTTAGAAGCTACTAAAATAAGAAACACATGGTGGCATATCTTGTGGAGACATCAGAAAACCTCACACCATAAACTGTCCAGGATGTAGCCAAATGAGTCTTTTAAAAGTCTCCCAGTGCTGGGGCGGACCTTCTGTCCCTATGTTGAAGGTATAGTTTACCCACTGACAGTGGGCTCTGGCACCTTGGAATTGTGTAAACCCAAGTCAAAATAAATAATATGTGAGAAGCGTTTCCTTGTGCTGTCGTGGTTTCTTTTCTTTTCTTTTCTTTCTTTTTTTTTTTTTTTTTTTGAGACAGGGTTTCCCTGTGGCTTTGGAGGCTGTCCTGTAACTAGCTCTTGTAGACAAGGCTGGTCTTGAACTCACAGAGATCCACCTGCCTTTGCCTCCCAAGTGCTGGGATTAAAGGCATGTGCCACCACCGCCCGGTATCATGGTTTCTTTTTTAATTACTCTGTCAGCTACAGAATGTGGAACATGTCTAGAAATCCCCCAGAAGGGTCCAGGTGGTCTGCCCCTTCCCTCCCTGTGTTTATGGAATGCACTTTGGTGACAGCCACACCTCCAGGCCACTGTTCCTGCCTTACATCCATTGTCATCCCACACAGAGCCCTGGATCCATCAGTCCCTCCTAGACAGGGCCTGGCTCTGACTGAACAGACCTCATGCTGTCTGTCTGTCTGTATCTCTCTCTTTCTCTCCCTCCCTCCCCCCCCTCTGCCTGGGTGGTATGGGTATATTTTCTCTGATCAGTTTTTTTTTTTTTTTTTGATGTGTGTGCCAGAGTCCATAGAGAACAAAAAGGGCACTGGATCCCTGGAGTAAGCTAATTGTGAACCACCTGATACTAGGGCTGGGAATTGAACTCAGGTCATCTTGGAAAACCTGGAAACACACGTGACTGCTGAGCCTGCTCTCCAACCCCTGAGGTTAGCCCTAAGAAAGCTGAGCCAGGCTAGGAATGGATTTCACGGAGTACATGTGACCACACTTTCCATTCTGTTCTGGTGTCTTCACCATTCAACCAACACCAGTGACAGTGTGAAAGGTGGAGACACAGTCCACTGGGCCAGCAATCACAAGTTAGGAATGCAGGACTCAGCCCAGATGTTCAGGAGACATGGCTAGAAGATGGTCATTCCACATGTATGCTGTCAAAGCCCAAATGATAAGTTTAAATCAACATAAGTTAGCCCAAGTGCATGGCCACGCATATCCTCAGACTTACTCTGTGCAGTCTGTTTATCTTTATCATCTGACTCATCAGAAGCCAGGATTTATAAGGGCAATGGGTGCTGGATGTTTTGAATGGTCTTAAGGACATGCTCAAGGCAAAAAAAAAGAAAACAAAAAACCCACTTGTTTTCAACCAAGCTGGTTCTGAAGAGCTGAGTCAGTATACAGAGCAACAATGATGAATCCTTTCTGTCTTGTTGGAAAACAGGAGGTTAGCCAGAAATGACACACTTGGCAATGAGGAAAACACACAAAATGTGGTCCCTGGACACTGAATCTTCACCAGCACTCAGTGGACAAAACTCCAATGCAAAAAGTGCCTCTTCTTAGGTTCAAAGGAGGCCCTCTCTAGCCCCCAAAAGGCAGTGCCACTGGGTTGCAGTCTGGGCTCTGGTCAGGCTGAACTGACAGGTAAACAGACTGCTACTTCAAATCAGCATTCCTCAGAAACTTTGTAAAGGGGTTTCTGTTTGCCAGGAAAGGCATTGCTTTCTTATCGGCCACCTGCAGCCCACACCCTGTCTCCAGAAAGGAGTCTAGTTCTCTATTAGCTCACACAAGACTCCCACAGGCTGTCCCAGATAACTCGCCCACAGCCTGCCCCAACATAAGCCTGGCAACTGCCAGGCCTCCCACGTTTCTCTTCCCTCTGACCCTTGAGAGGTAGCCTTGACAGTTTGAATAAATGTTTCCTTCTCCGCCCACAGAGTGGTCTAGTTTGGTGGGTTCACTGCTCCTCCCTCATGTAGCCCCCCCCCGCCAGTTTCATTGCAGTTTCAGGGATAAACCACTCCACATGAGCTCAAAGAATTTCAGGTTGTGTAGAAGGACAGGGTTCCTGCAAAGAATATTTACTCAGAAGCCCCCATGTCCTAGAGGTCCCTCGAACATACCTAGCTGAATATTCCCAAACATACAGTGACCTATATCTTCGAGGCCTGTTAACAGCAAAGGGAAACAGCTGGAGGCAAAAGGGTGAGAAATGTGTTTGCAAACTGCTGTGCAGGTTTACTGGGGAGCTGAAGAGCTTGGGGTGGACAGAAAGTAGTCTCCCATTGTGTAGGGCTGAGTGAAACAACAGAGGGAAAAAAAAATCAGCCTAAGAAGTCACCACAGAGGAAACTAAGAGAGAGAGGGCACACAGCACCAAAAGAAAACAAAACAAAAACAAACAAACAAAAAAACCACTTGTCTGTGTGTAGTTCTTCAGATTCTTTTGGATCTGAAACTCTGCACGAGTATTACTTAAGTGTTTTCCTGGAGCCACACACCAGGCTTTCCTGAAACTCTTTGTAGATCAGGCTGGCCTCCAACTCACCTGGTCTCTACTTCCCAAGTGCTGCAATTACAGAAAAGTACCACCACATCCAGCAATGAAAGAACATTTGATTTTAAAGGCAATTTTTAAACAACAGAGTATTATTTCAAACATTGGGCCCCTGGTCTCATGATCTGAGCATACACATTATTGATATTCAACTTGAACATTTTCCACTGGAAAATAAGCTGAACTGGAACTGGAGAGAGGCTCAGTGGTGCAGAACACTGGCTGCCTTAGCAGAAGACTGGGTTCAGTTCCCAGAATCCCTATGGTGGCTCACAACCACCTGTTGTTAAAGCTCCAGAGGACCCAACACCTTACTTAATAGTTTTTTTTTTTTTCTTCTGGCCAATAGGTCCTTCAATTCAAATTAGTATTTAATTATTATATTCAAACATTAGGGATGAAAATACTTTGTTTTGTTTAGCGATTAGGACGTGTGTGTGTGTGTGTGTGTGTGTGTGTGTGTGTGTATACAGTGTGTGTACATGTATGTAGTCACTCAAGCATGCATGCATTTCTCTATCCCAAGTCCTCATCCAAATGGCAGTGTTTGCATATGACCTCTGAACATCTTCCCATGTGGTTGATATCACGGTGTGTTGACTTTGAGACAGGGTTTCCATCCTTGGCCTTGACAATCCTGCTTCTGCCTCCAGAGTAGCTGGGAGTCCAAGTGTGGGCGGCCCAGCCCAACCTCCTGTGTATTTTTAATCATCTTTAGGATACTCATTGGACTTGGTACATTGATCCACTTGGTCATTGTGGGTTCTGCACAGCACTTGGAAGTCAAGTTTTGTATTTGGGAACTTTCTAGAATTGTGTGTGTACTGTGTGTGTGTGTGGGGGGGGGGGGTTGTCCCCTCCATCTACTGATGGAGTCTGTGTGTGGGACCTCACTGGATATGACAAACTGAATGTATCTCTTTGCTCTATGATGTTCATAGGCCTCCTTAGATAGCACAGCCTCTGTTCACCCTCACCAACCCTTCTGCTCTCCTCTTTTCCTGGCAGTCATCTGCAGGGCAGGACCTCCTGCCTCCACCTCTCTGTTAGCATCCCACAGCCTTCAGCCTTTCATTTTCCTCAGTTCCCTGGCTTCTGGGCTACACCTCTCTTGTTGTGCCATCTTCTTTTTTTCCTTGCACTTTCTCGTCCCTTGCTTTCCTGCATATAACAACATGGCCAAATGAATGCAGCTCCCATTCTGGATTTGTGTTTTTCCATCTCTGAATGAAGCTCCCACCCAAGTCTTTAAATTTACTCTAATTTGACAAATATTCAAAGCCATCTCTCCTATTGACTCAAGTCAACAGCTGTTTAGGAAGCATCTGTGTTGTGCTAGGCATCGTTCTAGGAGGTGCAGGTCATCAGAGACGAACTCATGCAGAATGGAACTTGAAAAAACATGCTCGAGAATGCACACACACACACACACACACACACACACACACACCTCAAAATGAATAGTCCATCATTTCAGACAATGACAGAATCAATAGAGTAGGGGATGCCAGACACTGAAGGTGTTCAGGAAACAAGCCATCTCATATACGACTTTGAGCATTAGTCTGTCTTTGAAGGAGTCAAACCTTAAAACCCCCAGTGGCCTAGAATTTAAGGTGGAAAGAACCAGATTGCAAAGGCTTTCAGGAAGACTGAGTGTGATCTGGGCAGTGGCTCACCCAGTGGGGTTCTGCGTAGGACTGCAATTGTGTCACATCCTTCCTCTATTGTCCATAACACTGACCTTCAACACAGATACAGCCATGTACTGTTTGCCACAGGCGAGCAGTTTTCCTAAGTATGCCCAAGACACACGTGTGGCTCAAGAGAAGGTGATCTGTTGTTTGCTTTGCAGTTGGGAGGCTCTGTTAAAATGTGGGTGCCGATCACAGGAGTGGGGACCCCACTGCTGCCCTGGGGTGTCCATATTTCTTCTCTTTGTGTATCTGAAAGGGCAATCTCCATTTTCCTTTTTTAAAGATGTATTTTTGTTTATGTGTATCTGTGCATATGTTCACATGTGTGTGGCTACCCACAGATGGCAGAAGAGGGCATTAGATCATCTGGACCTCACTTTATAGGTAGGTGTGAACTTCCTGATGTGGGTGTTGGGGATTGAGCTGGGTCCTCAGCAAGAATGGCTAGTGCCATTAGCCTCCCCCAACCCCCCCAGCCATCTCTCCAGCCCCTCCTACTGTTTCCTGTCACAGTATTTGCTTAGCATGCCCATGCAGACAGAGCAGGTGGGCTATAGACCAGTGACTTCAGTTTACCTTTTATGATTTCTCAGTAGAAGTCTATCTTGGCAGCCAGCATATTTTATCTACAGTGCATAATGAGGATGGCTTCCCCATGGGTAGCCATCCCAAGCCTTATGTATCTTTGGCCTCAGCCCTTTTGGATGAAGATAGCCTGTTTCTCTGAGGTGTTTTCTAGCATTTCCAAAAGATTGTTATGAATGCCACTGTTGAAGTTAAATCACCCTCAAAGCCCCCTGCATATTATTAAAATCATCCAGCTACTTCCCAATTGTGCTGGTTTGAAAGAAAATGGCTCCCAAAAAGAGTAGCACTATAGGAGGTATAGCTTTGTTGGAGTGGGTGTGGCCTTGCTGAAGGAAGTGTGTCACTGTGGGGGTGGGCTTTGAGGTCTCATATGTGCTCAAACCA